CTGGACATGTAAGAATAATGATACCGTATATTATGCAAAACAAGATAGAATATAAGACAAAACACAATCCGAAGATTATTAGCATCTTCCAACTCAAGATATGAGTCAAAGCAAGTGAGGAGTGAGTTTGTGATATTTCTACTTTTTTTTAATATATCAAAATCATCAGACTATAGTAGCTAATTTTGAAATAAAATCGAAATATCACAAACTCATTCTCGTCTTGTTTTCACTCATATTTTTTATGCAAGGGAATTCAAGCTAATCTTCGGATTGTGTTTTGTCTTATACTTTTTGAATTTGTCGGCTGGCATTGTTTTAAGATAGAATTTAATTATAATATTTCAGGTTTTAGCGCAGTGGTTAATATTAATAAATGTTGTACTGAGGTGTTTCGTGACAATGTACGTACAGGTAGTGATTTTCACATGTTCTGTGGCAATAAATTATACAGTTGTACTAAATTCTGCTTGATCAGGCATTCTTTCTCTCTGGCTCTTCCCTAGTATTAATGAGCTCGGTTTATTTTAAGATTGAAAAATGGCTACAGCTGTTATGCCTGGTTCTGCCGTTTCGACTTTGAACAGGAACATATCTGATGAAGAACGAAGATGGATGGTTATTGGTATATGTCTCAACAAAGTTCTGACACCTACACTAAGAGATGTCCTCAGTGTTGAAATACCTAAATGGCATCAGACCTTGGTTAAACCTCCCATAGAAATTGATAAACAAACGTTTGGAAAGTTTGTGAAAAACCTGCCGCCATCAACCATAAAGTTGAACTATGACAGTGTCAACAACAATGTTGTACACAAATCTGCAAAGTTATATGATTATGCTGTAAAAGACCCTTTGTCTTTGGCGAAATTGATTGTGAAACCTTTCATGGCAAGTTTCACTGGTTTTGATCACACCATGGATACCTCTGCTGTTCTGTCAGTAATATGTGAGGCACAACCTTTCATTACTTGTGGTGCTGCAGTTCATGCAAAGAAGATCAGGTCGGATATTAGGAATGAATGGGCACATTGCGATTTTTTACATTGGACCAAACCAATTTTCCAAATTGCTTTGAACGACATTGAATCCTTGGTCAGGACTCTAGGTTTGACAGCGGTGGAAGAGAAAATTGTTCTTGATGAAATTGATAAGTGGAGGAACAATGGTAGGTATTGATAATGCACCCTGTTGTTGTATATCTTATTATTCTTATATAAAATCGGAGATCGCAGGTACCGCAAAATTCAATATGGCATTTTGCGATTCAATTTGAAGCAATTAGGGACGGATCATTAGATATTTGAAGGGGGGGGGGGGTATGGGCAAATACCAAAAAAAACTCGCGCACAGAAAAAATGCAGAAAAAATATCGTGCACAACAAACCTATTGAAAAAAAAATTGAGCAAGAACTAGGGGTGATTTTTAAAATCGTAATGCAATTATTCTAAAACATTAAAATGGTGTTTTATGACAATCGAAAAAAAAATTATACCCCCCCCCCCCCCGTCGACGAACTTTTCGACGAACTTCCCAGGAAAAAATTTTTAGGTCATCTTAAAAAAATATCGTGCAAAGGAATGGTGCAAAAAAAAATTCTTGCAAGCAATTGGGGGATGAAAAAAATTCGTGAACAGAAAAATTGGCAACCCCTCCCTCAAATATCTAATGGTCCGTCCCTTATGCAATTCCGTCATCATATAATGCAATTTGATACTTTATTTGGCAGTTTCGTATTCTGCAAAATCATATTCGGCAATTTTGTATTCGGCGAAATCATATTCGGCAGTTTCGTATTCGGCAAATTCATATTCGGCAGTTTCGTACTCGGCAAAACCATATTCGTCAGTTTCGTGCTCGGCAGTTTTGTCTTCGGTTTTTACTTCCCGAGGGGAACTGGTACTGAGTCTTCTAGTTAAACATGGAGGAAAATATGGAAAGCAATAGAACAGAAGTGAGAAATCTTTTAATACGCTGTGCTTTAAGTATATTTCAGCAATTAGAATATGTTAGCGATGAAAACAGCAGCCTTGAGAATGCTTATATGCTGCTGAAACCGTTTAAAGGGAAATGGCAATATATTTTTTTATTTTCTAGTTTGAAAGAACATTAAAAAGCATATATAAAACTCTTTTACCGTTTTTTCATATCTTGCTTACTTCTACAAATATTTTAAGCGAAAGAAATTAAATGTCCGCCATCTTGGATTTTTGTAGATATGCATGTTACGTCACAACAGGGGTCACGCAATATTTCTGTCTAGACAACCACTAATCATTTTGCAGTCAAAACTATACTCTGTATGCCTTTGGAAATATCAAGATCACTAGAAACCTTTAAAACATCTGCCAATCAATATTTGGTCAGCAACGAATACTTTTATATGGTTAATCCCTGTAGTGACGTCACCAAAACTACCGTTAATGAGATCAAAAATTTATCCAAGATGGCTGACATCTCATTACTTCAAGTGAAAATATTTCAAGAACTAAGCAAGATATAAAGAATCGGTAAAAGAAGTTTTTTAAATAGTTTCAAAAGTTCTTTCAAATGAGAAAATAAAAAAGATATTGCCATTTCCCTTTAAGTAGGTTCTTTTAATTTTAAACTCGTTTATACACTAGCTATACTCTATAGAGTTTTTGTCACGAAATACAATTGTTGTATTAGTGTTGTTGAATGTTAATTTTTGTTCGTCGCTATAGAACGAAATAGTTAGTTTTGTTTTGCCTAGAATTTCAATGTTTCCCGGCTCGACTTCGTCTCGGGAAACATTCAGACCCTCGGGAAAACAAAACAAACTTTCCCTCGGGAGCAGACATTAAGTGTATATTGTTAGCTGATGTGAAAGATTCAGTATTCCTGGTACACATTTTAACAAAGAATGAAACATAATTTTAAAAATTAAATATAGAAATAAAAAACAATAGTTTTGACTAGATTAACACAGATAATAACAGAATAAGTTGTTATTTTCTATCTTTACAAAAACAAGTTTGAAAACAGGTCATTTTACTCTAGCTTGATGTCATATTCCATTTATTTGGATATTTGAATAAAAAATGTGAAATAATAATTGAAACTTGCTCAAAATTTGATACCAATACTCAAGTGAACAGATACCATCACTTAAAAATAACAGAACTTAAATTTATCATCTATGCTATGAAAAAATCTTAGATACTACAGGCATGTAGTGAGCACAACTCTGTAACAAACTCACTAAAATAACTAAATAAGTTAAATTATACAATGATAAGAGGATGGCAATATATGACAACATCAAATGTTACCATCTTCGGTGTCAAAAAAAAGTGCCGCGCGCATTTTTCGTGGTCGCATAACCGGCATTGCCACAAACTCAGGTGAAATGGCAATTGAAACTTGGTTTGGAGCATAGTCAAATTCTTGTTTTATCAACATTGAAATAAGCCCACAATATTATGCAATCGAGTGAGATGCCAACAAAATATTGAAAAAAGCAACCTGTTCCTGGTTGATATCCACAGGCCTGGACAAGTCGTCCCACACCCTCAGGACAAGTTGTTAACAATGTTGTTACAGCATTGCCCAAGCCTGCTGATATCAACCAGGAACAGGTAGTTCGTTTTTACACATGTAGAGAAAGAACAGCCAATCAAATGCTCAGTCTACAAACTGGTTAGTGAATTTCATTATGAACTTTTCTACTCTGCAACAAAGTTGTGAAGTTTGAAACATTTTTGTAAAAAGTTAGTCTGAAATCAATTGTAATCAGAAGGAGTGTGGTTCAAGGCATGCTCATAATGAAAACTTTCAAAATTTGGCACCTCTGGTTGTGGACTGATTGGGGGGGGGGGGCAACGGGCGTTTTTAGAATTTTCATGATTATGAAATATGATGAAACACACTGATACAAACTGAATATCAGACAATTTTAACAAAGGTTGACCGGTTCCCCCACCCCGCCCTTATTCTCATTGTTCTCATTTTACTGTATCACATACTTTGTTTACCTCAGGTGTATTTCCATTCTCACTGTCAGTCTCCGGAGATACACACCAGATCACACTGGATTGGTCTTACAATTAGCATGGCTTGGCCAATTCCACATTTCTCCAAATGTTCTACAGAATATCCAAGTGCTGGAGGCTGGATGATTTCAAGACTGTTGCCAGGAACGCGTCTTAGTAATTCAAATCCTTCCCCAGACACGAGTTTAGGAAATGCGCTTCCAACTCTTCTTTAAACGTTTGATCGCGTAGCTCAGTTGGCAGACCGCGACAGGACCGCGTAGCTCAGTTGGCAGAGCATTGGGCTAGTATTCCAAAGGTTGTTGGTTCGATTCCCACCGTGGTCAGGCATACTTTTCAAGCCTGCCCGGTGTAGATGTACACTCAGAGTAACATCACAAGCATCTTATTCACCCGAGTACACTACACCAACACAGCAAATATCATGATTACTAGATTACAGTGATATCGAAGGAACTAGACTCAGTTCCGAAATATCACATACTCGAACCGACATGACCGCGTAGAATATGAGAGCGTGAATATACTGAAAACTATCGACCAATCTCGTTGTTGCCATTAATCAACATCAAAGGTTCTGGAACGTTGTGTCCTAAATAATGTAAAAGATTGGCTTTACCCCCTAGTTAATGAATGTCAGCATGGATTTCTTGCAGGAAAATCCTGTCTTATCGAAGTTTTAGATTATATTGGATCTGTCCTGGATAAAGGTGGACAAGTTGACATTATCTACTTCGACATGTCAAAGGCTTTTTTGTCAAAGGTTGGTCATGAACTGTTTATAACCACATTTGCGTGGGATGGGAATTGGTGGGTCATTTTTGCAATGATTGGCAAATTACATGTACCTGACTGATAGCCAACAACGAATTACAGTACTTGGAGAAACATCTATTCTGATACCTGTAACTTCCGGGGTACCCCAATGGTCACTGTCAGGATCAGTGTTATTTTTTCTCTTTGTGAACGATCTTCTTGAAACTGTTATGTCCAGTAAGACATCTATGAATGCTGATGACACGAAAGTATTCAAAGCAATCAGAGCACTGGAAGATGCTTCAGCTCTACAAGCAGATCTAACGAATGTAAGTAGGTGGTCGGCAGGCTCTGGATTGCAGTTTAATGAGGAATAATGTTACGTACAGTCTATAACTTGCAAAAAAATAGGTACGCGACGCGTACATGTATCTGCGAAAAAACTCGATTCACATTTTGTATTTTCTTGAAAGGAACTGAATAATGAAGGTGACATGCGACATTTGAAATATTTCATCACTTATTATAATAGCAGATAAGATTTAAAACAGGGCTGTACACAGCGGGGAGGGCAGCAGGGCAGGGCAGCAGGGCAAGTGCTCCCCCCCCCCACGCCCGCACCAAGAAAATTTACCAACTTTATAATGTGATTATGATTGTAACAGATAATTATGCAGTCAGGAAATAAAAATTTCATGCAAACAATATTCAAAGTGTCTATACAGCCGGCTATTTAGTAAACTGTCACCTGTCAATTCAATCCATACTCATCATAAAAATTATAATGTTAACCAGTTTAACAACGATCTAAGTGAGGTTTTTAGTTTGCCCTTGGATTCAGCTATTTTAACTGACCCAAATGCCTTATGGGACGATTTTAAAAATAAGTTTTTGAGCGTCGCAGATAAACATGCACCAATCAGACAACGTCGTGTCAAGAGTGAATATAAACCGTGGCTGACAAATGAAATTAAGCAAATGAGCTATCGTAGGGATTACCTTAAAAAGCAATCGATTAAATTAAGATCTGCGTATTATGATAAGGCTTACAAGAGATGTAAAAACAAGTTAAATAATCTCATAAAAGAAACTAAACAAGAATACTTTGGAGATAAACTAAGCAATGCTAAAAATAGCAAAGAAAGTTGGCGAACTATTAACGAATTATTAAACAAAAGCCTAAAACTTCAGAGGTTAAAGAACTAGATATAAATGGCCAACTTATTACTGACGATGATAAAATTGCAGATGCCTTCAATCAATATTTTTCCACAATTGGCAGTACGTTGTCTGACAAGATCACAGGTAACTGCACTGATCCAATGAACTTTGTGACTCCTCTTGATGGTAGTATATTCAACTTTACAAGCATTACACTCCAAGAAACAATAGATGCACTCAATGAAATTAAAACTAAGAAATCTCCAGGGCTTGATGGTATTAGTATAAGGTTACTAAAAGATGCATCTAACATTGTGGCAGGACCACTAGTGAACATATTCAATGTATCCCTTCAAAGAGCAATTTTCCCTAATGATTGGAAATTAGCAAAGGTGACCCCATATTTAAAGAAGGAAATAAGGCAGACTGTGAAAATTATAGGCCAATATCTGTTATTTCAGCTGTAGCTAAACTTTTCGAAAAACTGGTATACCTGCAGCTAAGTTCATTCTTGAGGTTGAATGGCATTCTTGTGGAACAGCAGTCTGGCTTCCGTCATCAACATTCTACTGAAACTGCACTGCTTAGTTCTACAAATGAATGGTTGTTCAATATGGACAGAGGTTTACTTAGCGGAGTTTTATTTCTAGACCTTAAAAAAGCTTTTGATACTGTCGACCATCATATTCTTTTATCAAAGCTTGAATTATATGGTATCAAAGGAACTAGCCTAAAATGGTTCGAATCATACGTTTCTGGTCGAAGCCAAATATGCTCTGTGAATGGCAAGATGTCAGCTGTTAGACAAATAAAATGCGGGATACCTCAGGGCTCTAACCTTGGGCCTATTTTATTCCTATTGTACATAAATGATCTTCCTAACTGTTTAGAGACAACTAAAGCAAATCTTTTTGCTGATGACACAAGCCTTTTTTGTGAAGGGTTTAGTCCATATGAAATTGAGATCAAACTTAATAAAGACATTGAAAATGTTCATAGGTGGTTGACAGCTAACAAGCTCTCATTAAATATGAAAAAGAGTGAATTTATGATAATAGGATCAAGACGTCGCTTAGCTTCAATTGAAAATAGCCCAGTACTAACATTAGGGGGAAACAACATTAAGCGAGTTTACCAAAAAAAGTCACTAGGCATGATCCTTGACGACCAGTTAAAATGGAATAAACATAATGAAATGCAATGTAAAACAATTTCAAATAATATCGCCCTGCTGAAAAGAGCAAAATTGTTTGTCAATAGAGATAGTCTGATAAAAATCTACAATGCCTTAGTGTGGCCTCATTTCAATTATTGTTCAACAATCTGGAATGATGGATGTTGTTCGATAATTGATAAATTGTTTATACTGCAGAAGAGAGCAGCGCGTGTGATAACAGGGGACACATATGAGGTTCGTTCCATGCAAACGCTAGATAGTCTTAATTGGCTTCCAATAGAAGAACTTCTAAAACAACGACAGTTAATAATTACATTTAAAGTACTAACTGGTCGATTACCTCGATACCTTGAAAAATTGTTTTCAGTAAGTCAAAATGACAATTACAATCTAAGAAGCAATCAAATTAAATTGAACCTACCCAAACCTAAGACAAATTTTCTCAAACGAAGTTTCTCGTATAGAGCTGCTAAGTCCTGGAACGAACTTCCAAGTGAAACTATTGAAAATTATAACAATCTTTCAACTTTGTCGTTTAAACGGCAATTACTTAATTCATCCGTATCAATTCATTGTAAATAGTTATATTCTTTTTGTCCTTTTTATATTATTGTTGTAAACACACGGCCCTTTGAAAACCAGCGCTGTAAATATTATCTGCTGAACAGGCTACCGTGTTTAAATAATTTTATTAAAGATTAAAGATTAAAGATTAAAACTTTATTGTAATCATATGAAGCAAAAGTTATGTCACTTGTTGTTTACACTTGCCAATGTTAACTGTTGAGTAACATACACAAAATATTTGGTGAACATGTCGAAAACCACTGAATAATTGAGAATGATTTGAAGGTCATGAGTGAAGTATATAATTAAATTCCAGTTCTGTGCATAGTTAATGATATACCACACTGTTCGGTTTAACACGTACAGCACATTCACACAAAAACAATCGTGTTGTGGGAGATTATCGGTTTGAGTAGAAGGTACCACAAGCTTAGTTTTGTACATTGTGTGCCATTGATCAAATCCACCATATAATATATGATCACTCATTGTAGCTGTTAAATTATTTTCCATACTAATGAATTTAGGTAAGATTGTCTTGCAAGTTTGTTGTTCTGACAAAATTATCCAGCCAATATCCAGTACATTTATTCTTCATTCTTGTATTAATCTCTAAAAAAAAATACTTATGTTAGAAAGCAAAATGACAATGTAATGAGGCTCGGGAGGGTGAGGATTCTTTTATTTGAAAATGTTTGTAACAATTTTGTTTAATTAACTCTAATGTGTAAAACCAAAATGTATTAAGTATTTTAACTGATAACATCTTCAACCTTTGCTCTAAGACTACATTTGATGACAGCTTTATAGTTGGACTGTTGTTTTGAACAGAGTTATGGAGTCAATATACAGAAATACAGGACCAGGATTTAATTCAATATTTCAATATCTCCTGAGATAAATATTACAGAAGTCACAGAAGGATTGTTTTTAATACTGTATAAATCTTTTTGTGAACTATGTTGATAAATGGCTTAAAATATACTCGAAAATATCCAATATTTTATACAGTGTAATATATTAATAAAAAAATTCCAGAGTGCATTCCATGTAAACTCTACGCCGAAGATACGGCAATATTAACTATAGATAGTATAGTAAATATTTGCCGAACTGGCGAACTCGAGTATTATAAAATATGTGGGACATATATTTGCACAAATTTGGTATTTAAATATATAATATGTGGTATTTGACTACTTACCAGATGAGGATAAGATTCCATGTTGATAAATAACTTCGGAATAAAAAAAAGACAGCCAATTCGAGATAAATTGATAAAAATATAAAGATATTTTTGAAAGAATAGCACGATTTATACACGAGGCCTGACGAGGCTAAAGTATGCCCGTTCGCAGGTTAGATGCGGGCACGATGTAAACAATTGAATGTAAACGAATCGCTGATTGGCTTAAATTGGCTTAAATTATATAAGCTCGTCGCTGAATGGCTAGGGATACGGTACGGTACGGTACGGTCACGTTTGCGATAGAATATATCTGCTTCGCAGATACAAAAACTGGAAAAATCCAGTTATCTCCACCTATACAATAAACGGGGTACGTGCCACTTAAATCGACGCGGTACGAGCGGGATCTCGGTGTTCGCGTTTCCGTTCAGACCTCATGGAAGGAGCAGGTTATGGTATAAGCTGCACGTGCAATGAAACATCTTGGTTATATTCGAAGAAACACGCGGAATATCAAGAGTACATCAATAAGAAAATCAATGTACCTTGCGTTGGTTCGCCCACATATTAGCTATGCTACGCAAATGAGGTCACCTCGAAAGGGTTCAGCGTTAAAACTCGAAAGAATTCAGCGAAGGGCCTCGATACCTGATCATCTTGTCTGTCCCGCTGGCTTTTCTATTATAAGAAAAGACAGAACAAACTGTCGAGGGGGCGGTGTGGCGACTATTTGTAGAAATGATTGGAAAATGCAGATAATGCCAAACTCGGACAATCTGTTTGAATGTTTATGGACTAAAATTATCACACAAAACTCGAATGTCTATGTTGGAACTATATACCACCCTCCTGATCACGATTATAATGAGAATGACCTAATTGAATATTTGATAGACACATGCGAACAAATACTGTCTGTTAAACCAAACTCCAGAATAATCATTGCGGGTGATATCAATAAATTAAATATTCGAAATCTGCTCAATCAGCTGTCGCTCATCCAACTTGTTAAAGTTCCTACAAGGGGTCAAAACATACTTGATGTCTTCATTACGAACGCTCCTCACGATTGGAAAAAAGTTAAAGTAGTGAAAAGCTTAGTAAAATCTGATCATGATATGGTAATAACCTATCCCCGAGATGTAATTAAAGCAGAAAGAAAAAATTCCTATTTTAGAGATGTAAGACAACATAAGAAAATAAATATGTTATATGAATTAGGAACTGTAGACTGGAATATGATAACCAAAGATGGGCAAACTCCAGATGAAATGACGCTGAAATTTTATGAAACGATGTGGCCGATATTTGAAAAGTGTTTTCCACTAATTAAGGTTAGAACCTCTTCACGTGACCCACCGTTTATGTCACCCCTTGTAAAGCATTTGCTAAAGCAAAGGAAAAGAGCTATACAGAAGAGCGATTCTGAATCTCACGCTCGTTTACAAGACCAGATAAACAAGCTAATTCGAGAGAACCAGTTAAATGCCGTCACACAAGAGAACAAAAATCAGAAAACCGGATCAAAACAGTGGTGGTCCAATGTGAACAGTATTACAGGAAGAAATAATCGGAGTCGATCTGTCAGTGCAGCCTTTGATCCTAGTGAGATAAATGTATACTTTCAAAGTATAAACTCGGATCCTCAGTACGCGGCTCCAGAACCTGTCGAGATCCCTGATGGCACCAGGGTTTCTTCGCTCTCTATAAATACTACTCTACACCTTTTACAAAATCTAAAACGAACAGCATCCGGGCCAGATGATCTACCTTACTGGTTTTGGAAGGAATTTGCATTTGAGCTTGCTCCTACCATAACAAATATATTTAACACTTCATTGAAACTTAGCAAAGTTCCTAAAATGTGGAAACATGCAAATGTACTATCAGTACCTAAAGAATCTATCTTAAACTCTCTTAATCAACTAAGACCAATCTCTTTAACAGATATTATAATGAGATTATTTGAAAGAAGTGTGTTCAAAACTGAGATAGCACATGTTACAAGACACGCTATTGATTCAGATCAGTTTGCATCCAAGGAAGGTCACAATTCGATTATGGCTCTGATCAAGTGCCAACACACATGGTTAAGATGGTTAGAAGGAGATG